ACACCTTTCCTCAATGTTTGGAAGCCACAGCCGCCGCCCCAAGCCTCTCAAACCCTCCGACCATGACATCCTCAACCCCTCCGTCGTGCACCCTCAAAGCCTTTTGGTCGCATTCCCAGCCACCATGCAGCTGACAGTCACGCCACGCCACGTCCGAGTGCTTCACAAGTCCATCCAACTTTTCCCACACGCCCACCATCGTACCATCTCTACTCGTGGAGATATCGCCTTTCGCGTTTCACACCACGCCATACCCATGCATGACATCCTACATGACCTCGTGGTATTGCCGGTCGCAACGTTCGCTTCGAGAACGCAGTCCCCAGCGACCGCCCGGCCAATGTAACATCATTTCGTCCATCTACACGAGTCTCTCCACGTTGTCACCAACTTTCATCGCCATCGGCTTCACCGTTTCGACGATACCCGCGCTTGTGCATTTTGCGCACTTCAACCCGTCAACCTCAAACCCACTTTGCTCTCTATCTCGGCCTCCAGTACTCCAACGACCCCGCCATCACACGACATCATTTATTATGGTTCTTGCCAAGTTGTCACCATGTTTGAGCGCCAAATTCACCATGGTTCTCATTCTGGTCTCCAATTCGGCGATTTTGGCCCCTTTTTTCGACCATTTCGCCCTCCAAATCGACCTCCACCGCCCGTCCAGCCCCTTCAACACTTGCCATCACTTCTTCACGGCCCCCGCCGAGATTTCGCCAAATTTGCACGCCACAACCATCATGGTTCTCACTTTGGTCCCATTTTCGGCGATATTTTCCGATTTTTTGACCATCTCGCTCCCGATATCGACTTCCAGCACCCCGCCGACCCCACCAACACCTGTTCACCCCTTGCCAAGGCTCAATCCACGTTTTCATCAACTTTTGGCCCCTTCCGCATTGTGGTTCCGAACTTGTGCTCTTTTCGCCCAGTATTTTGGCCATTTTTCAGGCATATTGGTACCCAAATTCTCCCCCAAGGCCACAATTGCCCCGCCAACACCATTTCCAACTACCATCTACCCTCGCAAGAGATCTCCCAGCGTTTGGCATTCAAAGTCCCCGCCGTTCCGACGATATCGCCGTTTTCGTATCTCAAATGGTCCCGCCAACCTGGGAATTCGCCCACCGAGACACCAAATTTCGTTCCCG